GTATTAACTCAGCCACATCGGCAATATTGGTGTGTTTATTTAATTTGGCTCAATTTTTATAGCTCTGTTGAGGTATAGCTGACAAATACTTTTGCTTGTGTTTAAGTGCATACAATGATGATTTAATGTACACATAAATTGAGATATGGCTACAGTCATCATGTTAATTCATCTAACAGCAGGGTTACATTCTGTTTGTAGACAGTTAAGCTCAATTCTCTTATGAAAGCTGAAGTTTTTAACACTGGACCTTTTTTTTTTTTAACAATAGTGTAATAACTTTCAAGTGTGTAATACAGGGCTGCTAACTACACTCACCATGAATACAATTGTATTAGATCCCAAGTGTGTGTGTGTGTGGGGGGGCAGGAAGGTATTTGTGCTTGCACAAGCATTAGGGGAACCTGAAATATTAAGCACAAAGGGCTGCTCCTTCAAGGGGTGTGCAATGCCTGTCATTTACCCAGAAGGCTGCAGTGGACTGCTCTCTAGCCTGGTGACCTTTGCTCTATCATCTATGTGTCTGGAGACTTTCCCAGCACTGGGTCCTCCCAGTTTGTTTTTCTTAGTTGATCTATAGAATCTATCTTTATGGACTTCACAGGGAGTTTTCTTTTTTTTTTTGGGGGGGGGGAGTTTTTATTAAGTCACATCTGAGCTGTATTTAGCTTATTCTGTTCCTCATGGAGGTTTACGTATGCTTTGTTGTGCACTAGGGATTGAGTTAATTATCTGCAGAATGCTTTTTACCAAATTGTGTTGTGCTTAAATATGCCTTAAATAAATCCTTGGAGTCAGCCTCCTGAAGTTTGAACCATCATTGGCTACTGACTCATGTTGAACAAATCGCCTTCTTGCCTCCCATCGCTTGTCACTAGGGCTCTCCGTGAAGGTCTCAAGAGACCCCAGCACCCAGGAACTTTATGTTGTACTGGATGCCTATACTTTTGACATGAATGTCCCCATTTTGCCACTCCAAGCCCTTGGCAACCACCATTTTCCTACTTCTAGAAGCTCAAGCATTTAGATCCATTTAGACAGAAGCTCACACAATGTTTGTCACTGTCCAAACTTTCACTTAGTCCAAAGCCTCTCAATTCATCTGTGCTGTTAATGACACTGGTTATTTCTTTCCCATGCCTGATTAACATTCTACTTTAGGCACACATCTGATCTTCTTATCCACTGACCCACCAATGCACACTTAGGTTGTCCCTCTTGACTGCTCTGGCCAGTCCTGCTTTGAGGGTAAGAGTCCTTCGGTGTCTTTGGGACTCTACTTTCTCTTCCCCTGGCTGTGTATCATGGGTGGGATTGTCAGACCGTATGTCAATTTGTTTTTTTAATTAAAAAAAAAAACAAAAAAATGAGTTTTCCAATATGCTCTGCCAATTTATAATCTCACCAACAGCATGAAGCTCTCTTCTTTCCATATCTTTCCTTACACTTATTTTTGTTTGTCTTTTGAGTCTGGTCATCCTGTGAGGTCTGAGGTGGTATCCTCTGTGGCTTTGGCTACTATATTAGTCAGGGCTCTCTAGAGAAATAGAACTTATCGAATGAATGACTCTCTCTCTTCTCTCTCTTTATATATATAAAATTTATAATTATAATATATTTTAATAAATAGAATTTATTATTCTAATAAGTCCCACTTATATAATATATATACATATAATCTATGTAGACATATAATTTATAATATTTATGCACATAATTCATAATAGTAAAATACATAGACATGTTACATAATATATACACATATACTATATAGATATATAATAAACATAGATACATATAATATATTATAATACATAAACATATCAACACATGTATATATCTCCTTTATATACAATATATATTATAATATATAACATACAATATATATTATAATACATTCACACACACATATCTTAGCTGAAGGTTCATGGATTCTAAGATGAACCCAAACCTGTGGTGAGTTTCTTAAGTGATTTTGTTCTTTAATCCAGTTTGCTGCCTCAGGAGATGATTCTCTACAGTAAATGACAGATTTTGCAACTATTTAATCATTCAGACTTCCACTCACGCCAGCATAGCTACAGAAGACACGGGTGCATAGGCACCAGAATCATAGCAAAATTGCTTGGGGTGTTTAATTGTTCAGTTATTTTCACTTGATTATTAAATGTATATATATATATAAACATATATATATATATATATATATATATATATATGGGGATATATGCATGCACATGTTTGCATACACACACATTGGATGTTGTATTATTTAGTCTTTCTATCACTGTGTTAATAAATACCTGAGAAAATTAACTCGAGGGAAAAAGGATTTATTTTTGGTGCATGACTTCAGACGGTCTGAGGTCAGCTGGCTCCACTCTTTCTGGGCCTGTGGTGAAGCAAGTCATCGTGGCAGAGGGTATGGTTGAGTGGGTCATTCACCTTACAGTAGCCATGATGCCCCCAGCAGGTGAGGGAGTCCCTGGGCAGCAGGGGAGACCTTCCCAGCACACACCCAAACCTGATCTAGGCTCCACCTCCTGCTTTCCAACACTCCCAACCATGCCTTTGTGTCAGGAGTCACCAGTGGATTAGCCTAGTGATGGAGCCAGAGTTCCCAGGCCCCAGTCATCCGTGCACAACAACTGGCTCTAATGGCTGGGACCAAGCCTTCAGCATGTGAGACTCTAGGGGCCACTTCATCACCAAGCCACAATGGTTATCAACCCTTCCCTGGCAGGCCGGTTGCTAGCTCTCCCTCCCTCCTGGTTCTTTACTTTGTAGATCCAGTTTACCATGTAGATGTCTTTTATTTTGGTATGGTCCTTTGGTTTATATTTTGCATTTATTATCTCTCTCCCTCCCCCCACCCTCTCTCTGTGTGTGGGTGTGCGAGATGTGAAAAAGCCATTGGTAAGACCAACATTGAAGTTCCCCCCTGTGATTAATTAGACAAGTTTGGTAAGTTTCAGGCCTTACACTTCAATCTTCAACCTCCTGAGAGATTTTTGTCTTTGTTTTTTGCTTTGAGTGGGATAAGGTACATTCCTTTCTGTTTATCCATTTCTCCAAGATAGACTACTCTTTCTCTTTTGTATATTCTTGGCACCCTTGTCAAGTGCTTGTTAATGGTATATGTGGGATTGTTTCTAGACTGTTTTGTTATGTTGTTTCAATGTATCTGTTTTTAGGCTGATACCACACTGCTTTGATTACTACCGCTTTGGAGAATAGTTTGAAATCGGGAAGTCTGATGCCTCTGACTTTTTTCTTCTTCCTTACTGTTTTTGTGAAAATGCAATAGGAAAGTTGAGAGATCTTATATTGACTCTGTAGATTGCTTTGGGCAAAACAGAAAATCTGAGAGTATCTCTCCAATCTGAACACAAGGTCCCTTTTCGTTTGTTTGTGGCTTCATCACGGTCTCTTGTGGTTTTCAAAGTACTGTCTCTTACCTTCTAACTATTTTATTGTTTAGATGCCAGTACAAGTGTTATTCCTTTTCAGGGGATGAAGAGATGGTTCAGGGGTTAAGAGTTCTTACAGTTTGGCTCCCAGCAACTGCTCACAACCACCTGTAACATCAGCTCTAGGGGGTCTGGTGAACTCTTTTGGCATCACTGGGCACCACACACAAGGATACACACACATATGGGTGCATACACACACATATACAAGCACACAAGTATAAATGACAATAAAATCATAAAAATCCTTTTTAGCATTTGTCAAGAAATACAACATCATATTAAGCAAAATAAGCTAGACTGACAAATACAATGTTTTCTCTTACGTGGATAGAATTTTATATATATGTGTGTATGTATGTGTGTGTGTACATAAATTCATTTCTGTTTAAACAAAAATGAAAGTAGATGGGGACCCTCTGGGAAAAGAAAGACTAGCAAGGAAACAGCACAGAGGGCGGATGTAGTTAAAATACACGACATAGTTGAAAATGTGCTTATGAAACCATTGCTGTGGGAGATAAATACATGCCATAAAATCAATTCTAATTTTTTTACTTTTAATTTGCTCATTAATTCTGTTGTTTTTTGCTTGTTTGTTTTTGAAGTCTTTAAAAGCTTTGTGACCATGACATCTAAAAGATGATTTTATTTCTTCCTCTCTGATTTTGGTCTCTTGTGTTTCTTTTTCTTGTCTCATTGCTATGGCCATGGCGTCCAGTGTCATGGTGAACAGAGATGGCAAGTGGGCACTCTTGCCCTGTTCCCGGTCTCAGCTTTTCACAGTGATGTTAGCTGTGGGCTTGCCCTGCATGGTCTTTACTCTGTTGAGGTGATTTCCTGAGCCTGTATCGTGAAATGATGTTGACTCCTGACAGAAGCTCTTGACCTGGTTTCTGTTCTTCATCCTGATAGTGCAGTACACTCTGTGTGTGGATTTTCCTGTGCTGTTCATCCTTTCATGTTGAGAGTAGCTTGTGCTTGGCCACTGTGCAGCCTTTCTAGTGTGGTATTAAATCCAGCTGGTACCATGAAGATTGGCCTGTGAGGTTCCTCTTTGCTCTTCGGTGTCTTATCAAAGCTTGGGAAGGATTGGCATTGATTCCCATTTAAATGTTTGATAGGGCTCCCCAGGAACCCAGCAGGCCCTGGGCTTGTCTTTGTTTTGATTATTGATTCAATCTCCTTCCTATTGGTCTGATTCTTCATGATTTGATCTCGACAGGTTTCATATGTCTAGGATTATCTACCAAGCAGTAATCTATCGCTGCAAGGTCATTTATAACAGTCCTTCACTCTTCTGTGGCATCTGAAATGTAGACTTTTTCTTTACAAAGGCTCCTTTTTTGGTAAGCTTAGCTAGAGATTTATCAATTGTTTACCTTTTTGAAAATTCAACTGTCAGTTTCACTGATCATCTTATTGTTTGCGCGTCTGAATAATAATTATTATTTTTATTATTTACTTTGTTCTGTTAAGTTGATCTTAGGTTTTTCCCATTTGTCACTTTCTCTTCCTACAGTGCAGCACCTGTAGTTATAGATGTCACGCGTGCAGTTGCGAGCTCCCCTCAGCTTTAGTGTGTGTTGCTTCTATTCTCACATGTCTCTGGATTCGGACCGTGTACTCTTGGACCTCTTCTGAGATACCTTGTTGGGAAGAGCAATATTTAATTCATCGCTTTCCTTTGATTCTGGTCGAATGCAGGCAAGGTGTCCATCGTGCTTGAGAAGCTGTGTGCAGCTGCCACTCTCAGAGAGGTGGGATGCTCTGTACACATCTATTAGGTCCTTTGGTCTTGTGTTTTTCCAATCTGCTGTTTCCCGATTGATTTTTTGTCTAGATGATGTATCATTTTTCCTCCTCTTTAGGCTATTAAATCCCCTACTATTATTGCCTTGCTGTTTGTTTCTGCTTTCAGTGCTGTTAACATTTGTTTTTATCTATTCAGGTGATCCAAGGTTAGATGCATAGATATTTGCAACTGTTAGGTCTTCTGACGAACTGACCTCTTCACTGCTATATAAGAACCTTTGTGGTCTATTTCATTTGATGCCAGTACAGCTACCTCCTGCCTTTTCCATTCACACAGAGCTTCTTTTTCTCCAGCCCCTTACTTTCAGCCCATGTGTGTTCTTAAAAGTTGATATGAGTCTCTGTGGGCAGAATAGTTAGATCTTTAAGCTTTCCAGCCACTCCGTTTTGATTAGCAAATGTTATAGTTTACATGTGCTCCCCAAATTCACACTTGATCCTCATTTGGGTGGTGTTGGGAAGTGGGTTGTGCAGGGAGGTGTCTGATTAATATTGCCAGGAGAGCATGTTGTCATGTAGTGAGTCCATTCTCCACACTTCCTTTCCTGCACACACCAGCTGCCCTTCATCTTCAACCACTTACGATACAGCAGAAAGGACCTTGGCGGGTGCTGCCGCTGGCATGTCCTTGACCTTGCATTCTCCAAAGTAAGGTAAATAAGCCTTTCTCCTACCCAATGTATGCTGCTGTCGCAACACAAATGGATAGAAGAGACTTTCCTTTTATAGAGAGAAGGACTTACTATTGCTGTTTTGTCTTTGATGGCTTGCATGCCCTTTGTTTCTTTCCTCTTGTCTTTCCTTGTGTGTTGATGGTGTGTTTTGACCGCTTTCTCTTAATATCTAGCATATCTACTGCAGGTTTTTCTTCTGTGGTGCAACGCAGCTTACTCAATCCATCTGAAAGTTATGCTATTTTACACTATTTTATGCTAGTGACAGGTAGCCTTGATGGCATACAAATGGCTTCTTCTTCTGGTGCTGGGCACTGAACCTTGGCCTCCTGTACTCGGCAAGGTCTCTACCCCTGAGCTACTTCCGAAGCCCACAATTTAAAGTTTTTAATTCTGTGTACTCATTAGCAAGGCATTGCAGTTATAGCTATTTTTCTAAGTATATTGAAATTTATTAACTTTTTTCAGGAAATAATAACTCACTTAATAATTATAAGTAGCTCATAAAAATGTGTTAGTGGACATACAAGATAGCACATATATGACTCACAATGAACTCACAATAATTTGGTAAGTTCTGTGATTAGTGTAAATATGTACCAATATTATGCAGTCAATTAAAGGACAAAAATATTTAAAAGCTTTGTCCTTATAAGATGCAATTGAGTGGTAGCTTTAAAGATGTTTGATTTGGGGATACAGCAATGCTTAATTGTTAAGAGCAATACTGTTCTTGCAGAGGACCTGAGTTAGGTTCCTGGAACCCCAAATTGGTAGCTCACAAGCACCTGGAACACCAGCTTCAGGGGATCGGATACTGACCTTCCCAGGCATCTGCACTCATGTGCACACATCCACACACAGACTATGTGCACATACCTACATATCGACTATACGCCACATAAGTGCACACAGTTAAGTTTTAAAAGATGTTTACTTGTGGACATGATTTACATATAACCATTATGTTACATTACGTTACAACCATTACAATGCCACAGAATTCCTGTTACCAGCAAGAGTTCTATATCCATTAGTTTGTACATTGTTAATACATATCCTCTTATTTCTGTTGAGAAACACCCTCTAGTTTTAATACAGATGAACTCCCTCAAAATTTGCCTGTTTGAACCAACAAGCAAAATAATCCAATTAAAAAAAATTGGGCACAGAGCTAAACAGAGAACTCTCAACGGAGGAATAGCGAATGGCAGAGAAGCACTTAAGAAATGCTAGGTGTCCTTAGCCATCAGGGAGATGCAAATCAAAACGACTCTGAGCTTCCTTATTACAACCATCAGAATGGCTAAGATCAAAAACTCAAGTGACAGCACATGCTGGCAAGGACGTGGAGAAAGAGGAACCCTCCTCCATTGCTGGTGGGGGTGCAAACTTGTACAACCACTTTGGAAATCAGTCTGACATTTTCTCAGAAAATTAGGAATCACTCTACCTCAAGACCCAGCTTTACCACTCCTGAGTATATACTCAAAAGATGCTCCACCATACAACAAGGGCACTTGCTCAACTATGTTCATAGCAGCTTTATTCATAATAACCAGAAACTGGAAACTTAGATGCCTCTCAGTCTAATAATGGATAAATAAACTGTGGTACATTTACACAGTGGAATGCTACTCAGCTATTAAAAACAAAGAAATCATGAAATTTGCAGGCAAATGGATGGAACTAGAAAAGATCACCCTGAGTGAGGTAACCCAGACCCAGAAAGACACACACGTTATGTACTCACTTATAGTGGATTTTAGCCATATAATACAGGATAAACATACATGCACAGACCCAAAGATAAGTAATAAGGAGGATCCAAGGGAGAATGCTTAAATCTCACTGAGAAGAAGAAAAAGGTAATGTTTGAAGAGAGGGAACAAGGTAGGAGAGGAATCATAGAGAGATATAAGGGTGGATATCAGACATGGGGAGAGAGGGGGCAGGAGGACAAAAGGCCTGGAGAGAAACTGTGGGAGAGGGCATCTCTCTGACAAGCTTGAGACCTAAATCAGAATCAGGGTAGGCTCCTGGGGAGATATGAGAGGGTCTCCAGTAGAAATTCCTAGTAGCAGATGGAAGACAGGACCCATAGAGATGGAAGAGGACACCCCCTAATTAGATAAGTCTCCTATAGTAAAGGGAGGGGAACACCAACCCACCCACAAAAATTTTGACTTAAAATTCACCCTATCTATAAAATGCGCAGGAATTAAGATAGAGGAAATATAGCAGAGACTGAGGGAAGGTCCGACCAATGCCTGGCCTAAACCAAGCCCACCCCATGGGAGAAAACCAAGCCAAACACTATCAATGATAGTCTGCTATGCTTGCAGACAAGAGTCAAGCAGAGTTGTCCTCTGAGAGGCTCCATCCAGCAGTGCCTCGAAACAGATGCTGAGACTTACAGGCAAACATTGGGCGAGGTGTACGAAGTCTTGTGGAAAAGTGGGGGAAGGAGAAAAGGACCTGGATGTGATAGGAGCTTCACAAGAAGACCAACGGAGACAATTAACCGGGGCCAAGAGGGGCCTGCTGAGACTGAAGCACCAACCAAGGACTTTGCATGGATTGGACCTAGACATAGCTGATCGGTAGCTCAGGCCTCATGTGGGTCCCTTAGTAAGGGGAGAAGGGGCTGTCTCTTACATGGACTTTCTTGCAAGCTTTTCAAGTACTTCCCTCTGAAAGGACTACCTTGCAGGCCACAAGGAAAAAGGACATGCTCAGCCCTGATGTGACTTGATGAGCTGGGGTGAATGAGAAGGGGTCTCCCCTTTTCTGAGGAATAGGGGAAGAGAATGAGGGGGAGAAAGAGGGAGGGTGGGACTGGGAAGTGAGGAGGGATGGGATGGGGCTATGACCAGGATTAAAGTGAATGAATGAATGAATGAATGAATGAATGAATGAATAATTTGCATGTTTGGGAAAATACCTACTTCCCCCTCCCTTTTCTCTGATATATGGTCTCATGTAGTCCAGGCTGGCCTTGAATTGTGACTCTCCAAATTCAGCCCCTGAGTGCTGGGATTATAGATGTGTGCCATTGTGTTTGGTTGTCTCTTCCACTTCTAAAGTGCAGCTTTCATGGGCTTAGTATTTTGGGGTATCAGGTATCCTTTCTTTTGACAGTTTGAGTATGTCCTTTACCTATGAGCTGGTCTGCAACATTTTCACTTAGAAATTCAGTCTTCTGCAAGCTCCCTGTGTGTGAAAAGTCACTTTTCTATTGCTTTCAAACTCTTTGTTTAGATTTGGGATTTAATGTACTTTGGGGCCTCATGAATTGGAAGATTTTTCTCCTCCCAAGTTTTGGAAGTTTTCATTAATTTATTTCTGTTTGTTTGTTTGGTTGGAGGCAGGGTATCTTTACATAGCCTTGGCTGGCCTGAAGCTTGCTATCTAGACCGGACTGGGCTCAGAGTCACAGAGACCCACCTGCTTCTGCCTTCTGAGTATTGGGATTAAAGGTGCACGCCACCATGCCTGGTTCATTTATTTCATAGATGATCTTCCTCCAGACTTTCTTCTCTTTCTCAGATAGCCATACTGCATGCATTATTTTATTTTCTTTAAGTGCCTCTCACTAGATCACATCAAAAGTGTCTCTGAATTGAAATGTCTTCTATTTCATTGGTTATGCTATTAAAATGCTCCTTTTCAGGTTTCATTTCAAACACTGTGTGCTTCTCAATCCTTTAGATTTCTGTTTTCTTAAAACAATTCTGCTTCTTTGCTGCACTTCTCATTTTATTCAAACATGATTTTCCTAATATTATTTTGTTGTTTGTTTTATTTTTTAGTATTCTGTTTTTTATTGAATTTTTTTTCATACAATGTATTCAATTCATGGTTTCCTCTCCCTCACCTCAGGCACATCTCAGATCCTCCTCACCCATTCAACTCTATACTGTTCCCTTTCCTTCTTTTCTTCCTTCTTTCTTTCCTTCTTTCCTTCGTTCCTTCTTTTGCTCGTTGGTTTCTTCCTTCCTTCCTTCCTTTGTTCCCTCCCTTCCTCCTCTCTCTCGAAATCAAACAAGCAAATCAACCAACCATACAAAAAAAAAAAACACCAGAATTTAAAAATAAAACAAAACAAAGAAAAGGCACAAGAAACACAAACACCCACCCACCCACCACCACCACCACCCAAATAGAACCCATAAAAATACAAAACCAGAAACCATAATATACAAGCTAAAGACAAATAAGGTGGTAAATTCCCAGACAAAGCAACAAATATGGGACAAAAAAAATCTTCAAGAATAGCACTGAGTTTGTCTTTAATGTGGTTTTCTTCTCTAATGAAGTCTTACTGGGCATACGAACTACGTTTAAGACACCGTGCCCAGCAGTACATGGCCCACACAAAATAAACACACATGACGCCTGAGCACAGGTAACCAGCCACATGGCAGAATGTAGATTAGTATAGTGGGTTATTTTAAATTATTAGCTGGTCAGAGAAGAGCCTAGATATATGGCATAGGTATTTGTAAAGAATTATGTTGAGCCTCATGAGTCGTTAATCTGGGAGCTTAAGGACAGGACAAAAGAACTCACTTTCTACTCACACAAATTAGTTAGTAAGGTAAAGGTGGCAGCCACGGAAGCCAAAGCTTCAAGAGGATTGTTCAGTGGAGCACTATGTACAAATTAAGACAACAGTGGGGAAGACAAAAAGAAGAAAAACAGATGAAGGCAAAAAGATAGGAGAAGCATCAGACCAAGCCATGAAGGCTGAAGGAAGAGGATACAAAGAAGGATGGATCTCTTCTGCTTGGCAATTCCACTGTCCTCCTACAAGGAGGACAAAGCTTGTTGAGCCCGTATAGTTCAAAGTAACTTTGGGAGTTGGGTACATAACTGGCTCCATGCCCTCTCTAAGGCTGCTTGATCTCCATCTTGTATTCCAGTCCAGATCCAGCCTGCTTGTCTGAGGTCACTTGTAAGACTGCATGGGAATATATCCTTTCTGCGGCTAAACTCGGCCTGACTCAGTCCTGGGTGCCAGATGTGGACCAGGTGCAGGTGCTTCTTAACTGCCTCTGACTGCCTGCTCCAGTGCTTGAATGGACCCGTTTACTGCCCTCCAGTGGTCATGGGTTGTTTCACATCAGAAAAAAGCAAGACTTCCCCATCTCAGATATGGTAAATTTGTCTTGGATGGCAGGAAAGAGAAAAAGAGGACAAAAGAGGACCAAGGTTCCTGCAACTCAGCCTTCATGTCCGCATCTTGTACAGTGAGGTGAAACCATTACTCTGCTACCAAGAGATTCATTTGGGGAAGAGACAGATTGTGTTTAGGAAAAGATCTTGATAGCATACTTTAGGAATGAGATAGAAGAAATAAAAATCAGACTAAGTAAAAAGCCAGCGGCACTGAATGCAGAGTGCAGAGGTGGAGGCGAAGGTAGAGGAAAGGGAGTGGAAGGCGTGCCTTCGAGGCCTGGCACCAATGAGGGCTCCTCATTCAGGCTTTTGCTCTCTGCCTCCTGCAAGCAGAGCTGGCAATGATGAATACCAGTGCTTCCAGTCGCTTCACTCTAAACGCAGCCTGGAACTTTCAGAGAGCCCCAGGAAGCTTTCCCTACCTGCAAGTACAGTCAGAAAAAAAAAATCTTTGTGGGGTTTGGAGACAAAGGACTCTGAAGTATGAAAGTGAGGCCTCATGATCAACCTCTGATTTGTGTGCGTTGTGCCTCTGTGATGTGATTCTTAACCTCTGCTGCCCCTCAAAGTTTCAGTAAAGTCTGCTCACACACAAAGGCTTCTTATACGAAGTCTGGGAAGGAATCACAGTAGAAGGCTTCAGGAGTTTTGCTGGAAGCAAGATCTAAGAAAGCTCATGAACCCAATGGGACCAACACAGTGGCTGCAGTGACAATGGCAGTCACAGAGTGTGGCTGAAGTATGGAGCTTCCCATCTTGAATTTATCTCTACAGTAACTTTGTAATTTTTTTTCAGAATAATTAAGAATTTATATAGCTTTATATAATAAGAAGAATTAGAATAGCTTTAAAGAAAAGAGGGCTTCTATTACCATTCACTCAGTTTTCTTGAGTGCTAATAGCTCATATAACTCTAATGACATATTTGAGACTTCTAGAATTTTGATTTCTTTGAAAAACACAGAAACAAGCCAGGCCTTGTGGTGCATGCCTTTAATCCCAGCACTCTTGGAGGCAAAGGCAAGAGGATCTCTGTGAGTTCGAGGCCAGCCTGGTCTACAAAGCAAGTCCAGGATAGCCAAAGCTACACAGAAAAACCCTGTCTCAAACAACAACAGCCAAAATAAAAACAAAAACTCCTAAAACAAAACAAAACAACCCACAGAAATATTACAATAAGAAGGTGTCTTCATTTTAATCCCAGGTATAGAGATATGGGGCTGCTTTGGACTATCTGCAGCAGCTATGATTTGCCTTGTGCTCTAGCTCAAGTGTGGTTTTGCCATCTTCAGATAGTTTCTGCAATTGTGTGATGTTTGGAATTCTCAGAACTTTTCAGAGGGTACATAAATGCTAGGGGCCCGGAGAGGTGGGGATGGGTGTTTGTTGGTTGCATTTTGTTAGTAGCCATGGTCAAAGAATCAAAAGGAAAGAAATTAGAGATTCAGGGCTCTCTTTCTCTCTCCTCTCTCCTTCTTTCTTTCCTGTCCAGTGTTAGAGGAAGAAACCAGGGGATGAGAAGAACCCACAAAGTAGCAAAGACTGGCTACATATAACCACAGTGTGTTCACCAAGAGCAAAGGATCTGTGGCCAACGATTCACAGAGCTTCTTTGGATTAGATGAGTGTTCTCATCTGATGCTGTGGGTTCAATCTAGGGTCCCGCAATGCTTTTAGCACTGCAGCCCTCATAGAAATCCTCGGTCACACGGACCTGGGACAGCCCAGGGGCTTCAGTTTGCATACCATCCTTCAGTGTACCAAATGAAAAGATAGGGAAAATGTTTCTTTGGGGACATGAAGGGACAACAACTGAGTGACTCTCCAAGCTCCTTCTCCTAGCTCCTGCCCACTTTCTACATGGTCAAGTAGAAATGCCTTCTAGATTTCACCTTCACCACTAGCTTGTGTCCCAAGAGGCCAAGCACAGCAAAAGCTCACTCTGTCTGTTTTCTAACCCCCCAGCACAACCTCACCCTGCACTTCTTTGTGTCAGGTACATCCCCCCATTACCCCTCCCCCATCACTGCAGGCCCACAGCCACACTACAGAGAAAGGAGGGTTACTCTATTATCTTATATGTGACAAACCTAGGCCCAGAGCTGAGGGCATGGCCAGGACGATACAACCAGGTTGCTATGGTGGTGGCGCGGGGCTGTGAACTGCAATCCAGGCCTGTCGCTTTTGAAGGATGCACACCAATTGGCAGGTCTCCGGTCACCACTATATCCAGGTCTCTACGACCTTCTGTAGTAGACATTGTCACAGTGTTTCATTGAGTAAATTTGGAAGGCATGAAGGAAGTGTCACTGAAATAGTTCAGGAACATGCAGCACACTGTGCTGGAGAGTCCTGAGAATACCTGGGGATAAGTGAAGCTCAACAAGCCACGCCCCTGTTTATCCAGCGCATGCCCAGATTGTCAAGTGCTAGCCTGGGTGTGATTCCCTAAGAACCCTGCATGCTGGCTCCCAGCTCCTGTGTGCACAGGTTTGATTGACACGGGTGCTGCAGATTTCCCACTGCCTCTTAGAAACTGGACCAGGGAGGACAATTCTAGTATCCCAGGACCCATGTCTTTCCTTACCAGACTTCTTAAGAGTATCCCTGCTGAAGCTGGAAGAGGTCAAGCTTGTGCGCTTGACCTTTAAGTCTGGCCCTTTGTGGTAAGCACTGACGTCCTGCTTCTTGACCGTACGTGGAACTAGGGTCTTGGAGAGCGGGAGAGAAGTTAAGTTCTGCTTATAGGGCCTCACTCAGCATCCTCTAAACCCAAACTGAGAAATTTCCACAGCTTACTCAGGGACCTGCCCTGAGCCCAAGAAGAGCTTGAGGGAGCAGGAGTGCCCTTTATGCTGGCTTACTGAGACTTTTGTTTCACCTTATCTCCTTATCTCCTATCTCCTTATCTCCTAGGGGTATATGCAGCCCATTCCTGCAGGCAGGTCTGGGATACCCTGAAGCCACAGGGTTCTCTGGGCTCTGGCATCACTGAGTGTTGAGAGGTATGGGTGGAGAAAGGTGAGACACTTGCCCTGATACTGGACCTCAGGAAAGCAGGGGTTGTTGGTGAGGCTGCAGAGGGTGGGGGTGGTGCAGGAGACTCGTCTATTGAGGTGGCCTTATGGGACAGAGAGGCATTATGGGACATAAACCATGTGGCAGACACTACAGCTGAGGAACAGCTATGGAGAAAGGTAGAAGGGTGGTTACCTTGTGGAAGGTTACTTTGTGCCCAGGTCTGTCTAGCTTCTTCTTAGGGGCTGGGGTTTTCTTTCCGATCTTCTCGTTTGTCTGGCTTGCTTCTTCTTCCTTTTTCTGAAAAGGCAAGAGAAAGAGCTCTGCAACCACCCTGAGGGTTCCACCAACTGTCTCTAAATAGGAGAACATTTTTGGCAAGCGAGGAACCACGTCTTAGTACCTACATTCTAGAGCCTCTTGTCCCTTCACTGTCCCTTTGCCTATGGACCGCCCTGGCATCTATCCCTTGTATCTGTGACAACACCCCAGAAGTACCTCTTCTTCTTCTTCTTTTTTTTTTTTTTTTGGCGTGTGTGTACCTCTGTGTATGCGGATACTTGGCAATGCTAGTACATGTGGGAGGCCACAAAGGTTGACATCCAGTTGTCTTCGTCAAGTTATTCTCAACCTTATTTTTGAGACAGTCTCTCACTGAGCATGGAGTTCAACATTTTGGCTAGGCTGGCTGGCCACCAAGTACTCAGGATCTGTGTATTTCCAGCCTCCAGTGGTAAGATTTAAGGGAGCCACCATGTCTGGCTTTATATATGGGTTCTGAGATATGCTGATGATTGAGTAGCCCTGCTGTGAACTGAGTTGTTGTTGGCCTGTGATGGCCTTGCTGTTCCATAGTGGAAGCAGAGAGGACAGTTCCTGGGGATCTCCAAGCTCTCATGAACAAAGGGCCCAGCAGAACACGTTAAGGGTGACACCACCTTGGAAGTGGCCTATCCATCCTTATCAAGATGGGAAAAGGATGTTGAACTATGGTGGGAAAGATCAGATTGACTAACTTCCCTTGGGGGTATGCCACTCATGGTTCTTAGGGTTGAATAGCCCAGGCTTTCAGCTCCAGGTCGCCCTACTTACTGTCATTTGCTCAATGGCTTAACTACCCTGGGACAAATGCCTGCCCTCTCCATGGCTCAGTTTAGGGTTCATGAGCAACAATTGACCTCTGGATGTGACATGAAGCCCCTGAGAGGGCTGTGGGCTGGTTGCTGAGCTGGTGAGGGACAACACAGAAAATCCAGGGTCTATCTGTCCTAGTTCAATATCTATGGTTTTCATAAAACACCATGAACAAAAGCAACTTGGGAGAAAAGGGTTTATATGTCTTATATGTCCTGATAACGGTTCATCACGAAAGGAAGCAGTACAGAAACCCAAGCAGGAACCTGGAGGCAGGAACTGCTATAGAAGCCATGGAGGAATGCTGCTTATTGGCTTGCTTCCCACAGCTTGCTCAGCCTGCTTTCTTATACCATTCACGACCCTAGTGTGCCTATAGCTAGCACTGCCCACAGGAAGTCGCATACTCGCACACAATCATTAATAAAACATCCCACATACTTGCCCATGGGCTAATCTGATGAAGGCATTTTCTCAGTTGGACTTGTGTCTTCCCAGAAAATCCTGGCTTGTTTCAAATTGACAGAAAAACTACCCAGCACAGTATCCACAGTCAGGAGTCATACAGCTGCCTTCTAAGGAGGGTATCTGGTTTTATTTATCTGAATGGAAATAGGAGTCAGGGTTTGGACCAAGGCTAGATTTGCAGGTAAAGTAAGGAGTAGGGGATTTCCTCCTCCAGCATGCACTCCACCACCCTGGAGCCTGTGTTCCCATAGTGACACTCAGAACAGTTCTATTACAATTAGTTTTGGGGAATTCTAAGAAGGTGATGTGGTAAAGCCTTAGACTCGAACAAGGTGCAGAAGAGCTCTGTGACAGAGAAAATTCTGGCCCTAAAGGGCTCTACGGCCCAGGTGGATCCCATGATGTCAGCAGCATCATAAGGAGTCTGGAAGGGGACTGTGCTGTTCAATCAAGACTGTCCACTTGACTGGACTGACAGTCACCTGGGAGGTCAGCAAAGTGTGCGCTAGGGAGAAAGTGAATGGTAAGGCCCAGTGGGAGAAGTAGGTCCCTGGAGCTATATATTAGAAGCAGTATCTTACCCTGGCCCTTTCTGGTGTTTTTTCTTTTTCCTGGTTCCATGATGCGAACTGCTCATCTCCACTGCACCCTCTCTAATAGGATGGTCTGACCCCACTGGAACTGCGGCCCAAAGAAATTTTCCCTCCTGTTAGCTGTTTCTGTCAGGTGTTGCCACAGTGCTCAGAAATAGTGAGGGGCAAAGTCAGGATTGCAGGCCTGTATAGGCATAAGGTTATTGTGTAATTCAAATGCTGATTTCCATAACCCTCCCACCCCCATATCGGGTTGCAATCCTTGTTCTGAGAATCTCTTGTGTCAATGTTGTGTACACACTGCTCCCTAATTGTCCCCTAATATACCAATAAAGCAGCTCACAGCCAATTGCTGAGCAGGGGAAAGAATAGGGCTGGATTTTTTGCCAACCAGGGGAGGAGGACTTAAAGAAGGGATTCAGCCACAGGAGCGGTCCAAGAGACAACAGAAGGAGCTGGAGCCTGCTACAAAGTGCTACAAAGTGCAAGTATCTCTGGGATGTACGCTGGGAGGAAACCAGATTAGATTAAAGGGCTAAGAATACAGTAATAACTGCTCAGTTATTGTGTTGTGAAGCATATTATTAAGCAAATGGGTCTCAATTATTTGTATGATAGCTGGGTTAAGATAGAAGCTGATAAACAAACACACTTTTATAAATATAATTTTAACAGGCCTGACCCTGCCCATGAAAGCAGAATCCTGCCATGTCATTTTTTTTTAATTTTTAGAAACCTAGATGCTTCTGCTGCACATGATGATGGATAGAAATTTCCATTTTAAATGTAAATTTGTATCCTATGTAGGTTTCAAAATATTTCTAGTGAAGCCACATGTAAGGCAAAGCTGCTGAAACTCTAAACTATAATCTCTCTGAAAGGAGATGAGGACCTAATAACCATGAAAAAGCATTCCCAAGACTAATAATGAATCTCAAGAGATCCAGCAACCAGCCCTCTACCATCTTCAAGCCCAGATGATGAGAGGAGCAGGCTAAAAGATTTTTTTCTGGCTGCACCAAACAAGCAGGTGAGCATGCAAGCATCTGCTAAAAGCAGAGTATAGAAAGCAGAGAGAATGGAGGCAGCTGTAACAAAGCCCAGATATGTGGAAATTGGCTAAATCTGATATATCACCTTGTCCATTATTAACACTGTGACCTTTATGTATTGCAGTTTCCATGTTTTTCAGCTGGGGGTAATCATGACCTTACAGCCTGGCTAGGAGCAGTAGATGACAGTAAAAATTAGCTAAAGGATCAGTGCAAACCTTAGTCATGTTATCTTTGCTCTCGGCCTGGAGGCTATAAGATCCAAGCATCCTCTGCAGCTGGGAGATGTGGGCTATGAATATCTTCTGAAGAGGGTACCACTTTCCATAGGCCTGACTTGATTTTCATGGACGATGGGCCCAGGGGACCCATAGCTCTAGAGATGACCAAGGTAAATTTGATACTTAAGACTCTTGGACAAAAAGGAATGGGTTGGTGAGAGCAGCCCCTGAAGTCAGGAAGGAAGGAGGTATATGCTAGTAGGAATCTCAGTGGAAAATTGGCAGTAGGAATGAATGATCTATCCCAGAACCATCAGGAGTTGGGAGGAGGCTGGGGATAGTGGAAAGGCTCCTATGTCGCCCACGTGGGGAACCCATATTCCAGTGCCTGTGACTGCTGACAGATACTAGCAATGCCCAGTTTAATCAGATGTTAGACAGATGTTTTCCTTACTACAGACTCTGCCTCAGGTGCCTTCTAGAGTGTCTACTTCAGAACACTTGTATTTGGGCAATCTCTTTTCCTTCTCCTCTGAGATCTAAATCTGTTAGCCTCATCCTACATTTTCCATAGAGAAGCATCTTTCTCAAGGGTCTGGAGCCACCTTTTAAAATATGGTCACCAGGAAAGTCTATAATCATGTCTTTGGTGGCAGAGGAGGGGCCCAATCATGACAACTGCCATTCGAAAACAAAGATAGCCTGTTGGTATAATGTTCTTTCAGAATGTATACACTTTACCCTTGTTCATTCAAATGCTGATTTCTCTCCCCCAATCTCTGATTTCAATCCAGACATTGCATCCTGATACTTATTCTAAGCATCACCTGTCTCAACTTTGTGTAAACATGCCAAAATAAAGCAACCAGCCACAATGCTGAGCAATGGAAAGGAAGCAGGAAGAGAGGGAGGAGCCAGAGGAGAGGAAAGTGTGGGAGGCAGAGGAGGAGAGAAGGGCAGGAGAGAACTGGGAGAGCAGGCTGGAGGAGAGATCTTGGAATGACATGGAGAATGAACCGGACCTAAGATTTCACTAAAGGCAAGTATAATGTGGGAAATCTAAATGTTAGGAAACTGTGAGGGCTTGGAGGTTTAGGATGGCGTAACTATTTCCCAGCATTGTTCTAGGTTAATTAAAGAAATCATAGTCTCTTGTATGGTGAGTTGATTATACAGCTGTTTAGGATTAACAGCAGCTTTAATAAAAGATAAACCAATAATAAATATTAATCGTCACCTACAACAATAGCCTAACTGCGGTCAGCAATCTCTACTCTAGGACTTTCTCACTAGCTTACTCCAGTTTGTTTTTGTTTTTGTTTTGTTTTTTTAAATGATCCCCCTTTGCATGGAGGTATTGAATTCCAATTCTCTCGCCTGTTAATAATCTTGAATAAAGTCTTCTACCAATTTCTTCCAATATACACACCTGGAGGGCACGCTTCTTCTTTCCCTGCCTCCGCTCCAGCCACTCCAGCACTCGGGTGAGGTCAGACATTCGTCTCTCCTCAGCTGACCTCCAGGTGGACTTCCTCTCAGTGGGCATCAGATTTTTGGTGTCCTCTATGTCTTCTGTTATGTTCATGTTTCACCTGTGCCCTACAGGAGAACCTGTGACTATTTTCTCTTGACCCCTGGATCTGCTGGGTGACTCGGAGGCAGGATGTTACCTCTGGATGTAATGATAAATGGCAGAGGAAGGAAACAGATGTTGGCCTTGGGGTTAAAAAGCCTGAAGAGTAATTGTGAGGTCACTGTTGAGGTAGCAACTGTCCCCTGGGTCAGCGGTCAGAGTGGGGTACAATGTAAGCTATCTCCCACCCTTTCCCACAAGATCTCTTGGGTTCCCTGGATTAATAGAGAGATTACAGTCTCTCTATTAAAGTTATGTGAGCTACATAGATATATATTCCTAAATACAAAACAACCAGCTCAGTCCATCTAGTTACTTGTATGCATGTTTTTAGGCTGACCATTTCGTATTGCATAACCAGTTGATGTGCTCTTCTCTGGGGAAGACTATTTCTCCTGCTCTCAGCCAGAGCACAAAATGAAGGAACCTTTGCACTGCCTTGCCCTGTCATACTGCCTCTTCCCCTGGCTTTTATAATCTTCCTGTCCCCTCTTCTACAATGATCTCCAAGACTTTGGTTCAAGAGTTGTATTGTAGATGTATCATTTGGAACTGGGCTTCACAACTCTGCATTTTGATTGGTTGTGGTTGTTTCCAGTAATGGTCTCTATTTATTGCAAAGAGAAGTTTTCTTGATGAGGGATGAAGACTACACTTATCTGTTGGTGTAAGAATATTTAGAATGTGGAATTATGCTGGTTTAGTAAAATGGAAGTTGTAGGTTCTCCTCTAAGATTCATGACTTCACTAGTCCTAGGTAGCTGAATGGGTTTTAAGCCCAATTAGGGAGATGTTTGTTACTGCCAAGGTATGGATCCCACCACTGCACTTTTGGAGTCACTGAGCAGTGCTAGTCACAGTTACAGTTCCTGAGCATCATAGCTGGGTAGGACTATTGGTTGCTTCCATCCTTTGAAAGCTTGCATAGTGCTTTCTGGTATTATGAACGCTAGACGTCAGAGAGAAGGCTTTTGGGCTAGGTCCAGCCCAGGAGGCATCTGGGCCCTTGTAGACACATATTTCTTTAAAAGGCTACTTTATTGGCTTCTTATATCTACCACCCTTCCCCACCCCAAACCCTTCCAACCCCCCAACAATAGGCAGGCAAGAAAGAAGGTTAGAGGGTAGAGTGTATGTAGACCTCTTTGGACAGTTATGCTGATGAGGGATGTTGGATTCCTAGGGGCAAGTCCAATCACTGTCAGAATATCCATCAAACCAGCAATAGCAAATGCAGCAGCAGGAGGAGCTGCTGACACCTTCATCCCTCTCAGAGCTCTTCCATTTATACCCTCTTCAGAGTTCCTAGAATTAAACTATCTGCAGCTGGGAAAAATCGTGTCCCTCCTAGAGCACGAGACAATCATAGTTAACAGCTGGCTGTAGGCAATCTGAAGCAGCCCCATATCTCACACCTGGAATGAAAAAAAAAACATAGTCATATAACATAACTGGGTTTTTAAAGGAACCAAAATTCTCACCACAGGCCCTAGATCCAAAGTATAAGGTGTCTTCAGCAATAGGGACTTACTGTATATCTTCTGGGGGCAAACAAAAGCAACATCAATAGCCCATAATGTTTTGAGAATCTTTTGGGCAATGCTCATGACTAGTGTTGGGGTTTTTGTTAGATGGTCTATAGCTTTGGATAAAGCATTGTCAACCCAGATGGAAAATTTTATTTCAATTATATCTGCATATTTATATACAGTCTTACATATATCACAGCTATTTTTAGGTAGATAGTTAATAGTATTATTTTTATGACTTTTTTAGACACCCTTGCTATTATTTTACCCTTCCCATTTCCTTTTTCTGTTTTTATCTCCCTTCTCTCCCTAATTAGAGCCCCCCATTTTCTTCTTTTCTTCAAATCATTTGTACCTTATTATTGCCCCATCTTTTGTCCCTCCCTGCCACATAATGGCACATTTTAACTTCCTGACTTCTACAGTTACTCCAGATGACCAAGCAATTGTTTATTGGGTATCTACCTTTTGGGAGGGCCCTGTGTGTCTTGTTCCTTTCAGGAACTTCTTGAGACTCCTGAGTTATTTGTTCCTGAGGCTCATGAACCTTTCTCCAACCTCTTTCATGGAGGGTATGTGTCAATTTAGAACTTCCTGAATCTTAAGAAGCCTTGCTGGCAGGGTGAATTATTTCAACTTTGAGGAAATAAACCAGCTTCATGCCTGGAGCTGGTTTCTAGATTCTTTTGCTTTCCTCTTCCATAATGTTCCATGTGTCTTATGGAGGGTGGCACAAATGACGCTGGACTACTTTTTTAGGAGCTTCCTCTGGGGATTATGAGTCTCGGTGGTACACCATCCACTGTAAAAGGAAGCTTCCTTCCATGTTCAATTGTGGCTAACAGCAACACTGACCTAGGGGCTTACGCATAAATGTTTATAAGGCAGTTTGATAGGCATACTACACCCATGTAACAAAACAGCAGTGGCCTTTGTACTGTTCCCTCATAGGATGCTTTTAGGGAGAATCATCTATTTACCATCTTAGGCTTATACATTAATAGGCATGCATATGATAAACATCAGATGCATTATGGGAAGAGATTTATGAGGTGGGGAAATGGTTATATAACTCAATCTGTCAGTCAAAATAGAGAACCACCTCCTACATCCCTCGTTCCCAAACTCCTAGCCCCAAACAATAACCAGACCCTGGGAGTAACTGCACTCAAGGTCCTGCTGTAAATCTAGACCGTCTTTCTAATCTTTATTATCACTTTGCTTTGAATAACACTCTCCGTGACACTTTGTGATCTATATGCACCTTTATTTCAGTTCCTTGAATAAAAGGCCAAGAACCTGAAAGCACCCAGCCCAGACCCCAACCACCTGGGTAACAGAAGCACAGATGTCACAAGTTCCAGAGATCTGGTTGGCCTTATGACTATAGGTTTAAGACTGAGCTGTGGAATACCAGCTTCCTTTGCCCCTCCCCCACTGCCTTCCCTAGGAGCCTGCTAGCCAGAAATATGACAGAGGCAACATTTAAAAGAAATTAACTTGTTGATGCCTGTGGTCAGGGCTGCAGCCAAGGGACATGTTGATGGCTGTGGGCTGTCCTCACACTACAGACCATGCTGAGGTTCACGGCTCATGCTGATCCCGGAGGCCATGTGGAAGTCCAGTGTTCTATGCTGCTGCTCACTGTAAGGGGCAAGAAGCTTCTTCTTCAGTGACATCGATGACTGTGGACTCACCATTGAGAAAGAGAGATATAGAAGGCTTCTGTGACAACCTCTCTCCCCAGACAAGTTATTTCTGTGTTTCCAGACAGAGACAGAGGCTCAATCATTGCTACAGAAGGGCACAGAGACACCTTTAGACCAGTGGAAAAAAGGAAGAGGGGATCGCTGGGTGAGACACCCTCAACCCTAATAAAACCCAGACTCCCTCAGTGTTGGTCCGGACTCTCCATCTCTGGAGGGCGAGAGGCTTGACCACTGCAGAGTCTGTAACGCTTGCTAATAAACTTGCACTTTGAGCCAAGCCTTTCCCTGTCTTTGAGTTCTTTGGTTGATGGAGAACAGAACCCTCCTGTTAGCTGGCATCACGGCAACCTCAGGGTTGCCAGCTCTGAATAGAGCACTATTATAGAATCTATAATCATTTTTCTAAACAGACAGAATTGAACCACCTCCTAATGACTCATCTCTATACCTGCAGATTAATGCACGTCAGGACCCTCATCGGAGAAGCTGCCTTCTGTAGTAAAAAATGGAGACTGCAGAATGCTCGGCCCCAAACAGGGGATCTGCCACATCCCCTCCCCCCAAGGCTCAGGGGTCACTGGGAAAAAGGACAGAAAGATTGTAAGAACCAGAGGTGATTCGTGACTACAAGAAAATCTTTTCTGGATATGCCCGGCCACTTGCTCATATGAACTCACATTTGTTGTGATAGTATGCACAAGACCCAGGCAAGGTCAAGCTAAACCAAATCCCAGCATGGAGAATGAGCGGATATAAAGTCCCACCCCTAGCTGAGCAGCTATTGCTTAATTCTGGGAGCTGGAGAGTCAGGTTATGTTTGTTTGTCTTTTAAGGGTGTGGGCTCACAAAGGTCAACCACACTCCAGTGGGCAGCTACACACCTAAGAGTAAATGGGCAGTATAATTTGAACTTGATAGGATTTAAAAAAAATAAAAAGAGGACACAGAGGTGGGTAGTGAAATACATTGTATGAAATTTTCAAAGAATTAATTTTAAAAAAATCATTTGTTTCTGCTCATAGGCATTTTTGCTACCAGGCAGTGTGAGCGCTGGTATTCTGGTTCCACCAATACACAATCCACATCCAGATGGACAAGCATGTGCCCTGGGGTGAGGATGGGGGCATATCATACTCAAGGAACAACAAAGGCAGTGATGGCTAGATGGGAAATGATGCTGATAGAGGACCTTGGAGGTCAGAAGTCCTGCTCCGATGGGAAATGCCAGGGAAACACAGGAAGCAATAAGGTATCCCAACAGGGGAGGGCTAATACGATCAGCTTTTTGGGTAAACTATGAATGCAGTCAGTCTGCTAGACTCACAACTGAAAACATTGTTGGGGATTGCTCTGGTGCTGGTATTTTGATGCTAATTACTGGTCCTCAGGATCTGATTACTGCCCAGATGCACTTTGTCCTGTCCTGTAAAACTGCCTAATTGGTAAATTAAAGAAGGGGACCTGGGCAGGGAAAAGGTGAGGTGAGTGGAGCTAAGGTTAGAGGGCTTGAGACAGAGAGGATCTTGGGAAGGAGTCAGAGGAGAGGAGGAAGCCACCATGGGCTAGGTGGAGAGAGAACCACATGGGCTGGCTGGGAGGAAGGACTCCGAGGATGGTGTGGATGGAGAAAGTGACCCAGATAAAGAATAAGCAAGTACTTAAGGAATTCTGAATGGGAGATAGTCCAGCTGGGAATGACTAAAGCAGGCGGAATGGGATGCAGCCTGGGAGATGAGAGAGAGCATAGGTGAATTATCCGCCAAGCCCAAGGTGAAGTAAGGCAAATCTAAAATGTAACTGTGTCTGTCTCTTCTTGATTACAATCACAGGTTAAATAACACTGCCAGAATAATTATAGGACAAATAATAAGCATATTTAACTAAATACCACTTGTTTTTGGCAACAAAACATTAATGGGATTAGCACCTTGGCACCTCCCCTGGAACACTGCTCACTGGCTACCTTCAGGGGCAGCTAACTTCTAAGTTACAGGGTTTGCCTGTTTTGGTTGTTGTATAAATGGGCTCATAGGTAGGGTGGGTTTGTTTGTTTGTTTTTGGAGATAACATTATTCACTTTTCAGATTTTGACGATGAGTTTTGTCGCTATGTGGCAATCCGTTTTATTCCCTTCATTTTTAAAGAAAGCATTGCTAGGAGGTGGAATTCTTGGGCCAGGTGTCTTTGAATCCCTTGTTGATGTTGCTACCCTGTCTGTGTTCAGGATTGCCTTCTTTCTTGATGACCTCTACCATTGTTTTCATGTTTTATGTGTGGCATATACCATTTTTTAATTTATTATTTTGGGAGCTTTTTGGAACTGCTCAGAATTGTATTAAAAGTTACTTTTTCATCACTGTGGCCAACTGCCTAGGACAAACAGCTTTAAAAGGCAAGATTTATTTTGATTCCTGGCTCCAGACTTCTAGTCCATGGCCCTTGGCTCCATGATTCTGGGTGCATTATAAGTTGATAGAAGTGGGGGCCCCACTCCAATGACCTGCTTCTTTCTCCTGGGTCTGCTTCTTGTAGTTTCTACCAATTCTCAAAATAACCCTACCAGCTGGAGATAAAGCATTGGGTCTCATTGAGGCTGTGGGGACATTCTTATTTAATCCGCAAAAGTATTTAATGTTTTGGACTATTGTTATTCTCCAACATTTTCCTGTGCCTTTTTCTTTTGTTCTCTTTTGCATTTCTTGTTTCTGGGACTCCCGTCATGCCTTGGGCTTCTTGATGCTGTCTCACTACTTCCTAAAGCTCCTAATTTTTCTTGAATTGTGTTCTTAATTTCCATCCTTTAAACAAGCATAGTTTTTAACTACTATGTCTTCAGGTTCACTGGTCCTTCCTTCTGCCATGTAGAATCTGCTTCATAATATTTCTAGTAAGTGCTGTATTTCCGTAGTACCTTTCAATTCCAGAATTTCCATTTATTTTCATAGCATCTATCTCTTTATTTTAATTGTGTTATTATTGTGTTATTATTGATACCATTTTATTTAAAATTTAAAACATGAGACCCTCTAATTCTTTGAATGTAGTCCTTGCTAAACACATTTGTGGACACTTAAGGACAATTTCCCCTTGCAATATTCTCCTAAATATGTGTCTCACATTGATGCTCTTTTTGTACACCTAAATATTTATTTATTTACAGAGGGTCTCACTATGTAGCCCAAGCTAGCCTCAAGTTTAAGATCCTCCTGTCTCATGTTCCCAGGTTCAGGGGTTACAGGCATGCCTCCCCACACCCAGTGTGTACTTCATAGGTTTTTCTTGTGGTTGTTGTTGTTGTTGGAAGCTGGACACTAAAATATTGTCACAACACACTAATAAGTACAGACTGTGTAGGCTAAATACCCTGCTTGGGCAATTCTGTAATATATACATACAGCAAGAGCTTATACTACCTATGAGAAATATGGAAAACTTCTTCAGATTTAGTCTTCTTGGATTCTGATCCCCCGTCTGTATCAATTCCGTTTACCCATTTATTTTCTTTGCCTCAGAAATTACCTGGGTTTTAGGAACCATGCAGTCCCTGCCTGGAGACAGGCTATGAATTCTCTGCCTTAAAATGAACCTAAACATTTTTATATTTTTGTTTTTCACATGTAGGGACAGTAGTTCCCACTGACTTTGCCTCTGCATGACTGGTTGACAGGACCTGATCACGTACTTCAGTCAAAGCTATGGGTTCTCTGCTGAGGGTCTCCATGTGGCGAGGGACTGTACCAGTGACAAGTTATCCCCCAGCTCAACGGCTTAAAACAAACACTGGTGACCTCACAGTTTCTGTGGGTCAGGAATCAGGAGGCCTTCACTGGGTCTTCCTCGTCTCGTTATTGGTTTGACATGGGGGAGGTCTGCTTTCAGTTTCCTCGTGTGCAGACTGGCAGTGAACACCAGTTCTTTGCTTAAATTGGCAGTTGGCCATCTGAGGTTCCTAAGAGATGTGCCACTCTCCACATGCACCTTGATTCAATCCAAGAAGCAAGAGAGAAGAAAGAGAGAAAAAAAGAAGAGTTAAGCAAAATCCAGGGGTTTGGACCATCACCTTGGAAGAGACACCCGTCATTCATGCCATATTCTGTTTATGAGAAGCAAGTCACTCTGTCAGCTGCTCCCAGACAAGGAATGACACCGGGTGAGGATACAAGAAGGCAAGCACCATGGGAGCCATTTTAAAAGCAGCCTACTGCAGGAGTGCTTTCAAGGCCCAGGCTTCTCAGTGTGTTCTCTGTCTCTTTCTGCTGGGCTCTTTTTCATCTTTGTGCTAATGTGTAAGCCCAGGGCTGGCAGGAGAACATGGCTACATGGAGCCTATCTAGGTTTTCCTGTGCATGTGTCCAGCTGAGGCCAGCGAAGTATGTGGCCCAGCAAGCCATGTCCAAAGTACCAGGCCAACAGAGCTCTTAGCTTACCAGCAGTTCATTTAGGCCCAGCAAAGCTGCCAAGAGTGGGTGCTGTGCAAAGCTACTGGACATCAGAGGCTGGGGTCCTCACTGCCTGGGACTGGGCTGGGAGGGGCACAGACAGCCTCAGGTTAGAATGCCTCAGAGATTCAGCACTGTGGCCTGGATTTCTAGTTTCGGGCACAAATGCCGCTTCAGCAGCATGCTTCCTCTGTGCCATTTTATATGGACTCATAGAGATTTGCAAGGCCAAGGGTGTGCTTTCTCTCTGCCTGGATGCAGCATTCTTGCCTGTGGCCTCTGTGTCCTGCTGTGCTATCATCTTTGCTGTCATGAAATAAAATCTGCATGAACAACCCATATGTGTACGCGTACCTTAAAACTTAAACTGGAGCAAAGTATTTCTCGTTTTGTTTTTGAGGTAAAAAAAATTGAAAAAAATTCTTCCATACATGAATACAATGAAATATGACCATGTCTACTCTCCATTTCCCCCTCTAACTCCTCTGACTCCTCT